ATTTAGGGGTTTTGGGGGAGCAGATGTAGGGGTAATGGGGAATAGATTTAGGGATAATAAGGAACAGATTTASGGTTAATTTGGGGCACAGTTCAGGAGTTATGGGGTAGATTTAGGGATAATAAGGAACAGATTTAGGGGTAATTTGGGGCACAGTTCAGGGCAATGGGGGGCACTCACCCGGCTCCGACTGCAATGGGGGGGTCCCGGCCGTGCCCCCCTCGCTCAGCCTCGCCCCCCCTCCTTGGCAGCTCCATGGGGAGGGGCTGCAGGACTCCCCCCCGCTCGGGGGCGCGGGCGAGGATGACGACGATGAGGCCGAATTGGAGGAAGGACGGGTCGGGGGCGGCGGCTCCCCCGCGGGGCTGCGGGGTCGGACCCAGGCYGAGGGGTCCCCAAAAGGATCGGGGGAGGGGGCTTCTCGCGGGCCGGGACCGCTGAGGCAGCGGCTGCGACCCCGGGGAGCGGCACCCCCGTCCCCCCAGAGCCCCTCGGCGCCGGGACCGCTGAAAACGGCGAAATTGGGGGGCTCCGGGAGGCGGCCCGAGGGGCTGCGGGGTCGGGGGGGTCCGGGAGGGTCCGGTTTGGGGCCGGGGCTCTGTGGGGTCCAGGGTCGGGAATCCGGGGAGGGTCCGGGCGCGGGGTGAGAGGGCGAGTCCAGCCCCGAGTCCTCCACGTTCTCCGGGGACGAGGAGGAGAAGGGCGACGAGGACGAGGTGAGGACGTAGGAGCGGGGGGCTGCGGGAGACCCCCGGTCAGGGCGTGGTGACATACGGGGGGTCCCCGTGTCGCCCACASCCTCCCCAAAATCCTCACCCGGGAAATCCTCGGCTTCGAACGCCGACTCCAGGGGGGGACCGAAAAGAGCGGCMGAGGGCAGCGGGTCCTGGGGGGGCTTGGAGGGGACGCTGTGATAGGGACAGAGGGGAGGGGGCTCGGAGGGTGCTGGGGACCCCGCAGGGATGGGGTGTGACCCCTCAGGGACAGGGTGAGACCACCCCATGGCACCCCAGGACAGGGCGTGACCACCCCAATGCCTCCCCAGGATGGTGTGTGACCCCTCAGGGATGGGGTGTGACCACACCATGGCACCCCAATGCTGCCCCAGAACAGGGTGTGACCATCCCAATGACCCCCAGGACACGGTGTGACCCTTCAGGGATGGGATGTGTCCAGCTCATGGCACCCCAATGAACCCCAGGACACTTTGTGACCCCACAGGGACAGGGTGTGACCACCCCAATGCCCCCCAGGATGGGTGTGACCACCCCAATGACCCCAGGACAAGGTGTGACCCCTCGGGGACAGGGTGTGACCACCCCAAATGCCCTCCAGGACACGTTGTGACCACCCCAATGCCCCCCAGGACACATTGTGACCACCCCAATGACCCCCAGGACAGGGTGTGACCACCCCAATGCCCCCCAGGACACATTGTGACCACCCCAATGCCACTCAGGACACGTTGTGACCACCCCAATGCCACCCCACCCCGTACCTGTTCACCGGTGCCACCGGGAGTCCCCTCCCCGCACTGTCACCTGCAGGGAGAGGGGACACGCTGGGGGTGGCAGGGCCATTGTCACCCACCCCAGGACCCCCCTGATGTTCACCCCCCCATCCCCAGGACCCCCTGCCCAGTCTCACCCGCTGCCAGTGTCCCCTCGGGGTCGGTGTCACTCGAGGCCGGGGTCAGGGACGCCGCGTGTCCTGCGAGGGATGTCACCGTGAGGGGACACGGAGCCACCGGGACCCCAAAGCTCTGGGGTGGCTCGGGAAGGGGGGGGATGGCCCCCGGGGGTGGTGACTGACAGGGAGTGGGGCTCAGGAAGGGTGGGATGTCCCCAAGGGAAGGGTTTAGAAATGATGGTATGTCCCCAAAAATGGGGGTCAGGAAGAATGGGATGTCCCCAAAGAATGGGGCTCAGTGATAGTGGGATGTCCCCAAGGAAAGGCTCTCAGAAATGATGGGATGTCCCCAAGGGACAGCCCCCAGTGACAGTGGCATGTCCCCAAGGGACGGCTCTCAGGAATGATGGGATGTCCCCATGGAAACAGTTTAGAAATAATGGGATGTCCCCAAGAATGGGGTTCAGGAAGGATGGGATGCCCCCAGGGATTGGGGCTCAGTGACAGTGGGATGTCCCCAAGGGAAGAGGTCAGAAATGATGGGATGTCCCCAAGGAAAGGGTTTAGAAATAATGGGATGTCCCCAAGAATAGGGTTCAGTAAGGATGGGATGTCCCCAAGGAAAGGGTTCAGAAATGAGGGGATGTCCCCAAGAATGGGGGTCAGTGACAGCAGAATGTCCCCAAGGGAAGGGCTCTCAGAAATGATCGGATGGCCCCAAGGAATGCGGGTCAGAAATGATGGGATGTCCCCAAGGGAAGGGGTTCAGAAATGATGGGATGTCCCCAAGGGACAGCTCTCAGAAATAATGGGATGTCCCCAAGGAATGCGGGTCAGAAATGGTGGGATGTCCCCAAGGAATGGGGGTCAGAAATGATGGGATGTCCCCAAGGGCTCTCAGAAATGATGGGATGTCCCCAAGGGGGACTGCCCCCTCCCCACGCCGCCCCTCCCCGCAGTGCCACTCACGGGACGCCTGCCTCCTGACGGTGCCCTACAAGAGAAGGGGACAAACATGAGGTGACCCCAAAAGGGGCTCCCGCCTGTCCCCCCACGGCCCCCCGGSCTCACCCCAACACCGGGGGCCAGGATCAGATTTCCCACGGTGGCCTTGAGCTGCTCCACGGTGGCCTCGGCGCTGCCGGGCGCGTCCCGCGGCTGCACGGGTTTGATGTGGACGTAAAATTTACGGGGCTCGTCCTCGTCGTAGTCGGAATCGCTGGAGGAACACCCGGGATTCTCCACCTCGCCTGAAACCCCGTTAAGGCAAATCCCAATGTTTGGAATTCCCCCCCAAAAAACGCCTCGGATCACCCCAAAATTCCTAATTTTTTTCCCAGGATACTGTGGGCTGTGTCCGGGCGCACGGTGAATCCGTCCTCGTCCACCTCGGGGCAGCCCTGCAGGGACACGCTCGGACATTCCCAGTGCTCCCAGTATGGGAATGGTGGCGCTGGGGTGGGGGAAACTGAGGCACTGACCGGGTCGGTGTCCGGAGATTCCCTGGGGAGGGAGGGGAGAGTCAGGCGGTGGGGTGTGGGGATGGGGGAATTTGGGGATGGGGGAATTCGGGGATATAGGATGTGGGAGTTCAGGGATATAGGATGTGGGAATTCAGCGAT